CGTTTGTGATGGAGAGCATGGCTTACCTCACTGCTGGAATGATGGACCGTCCTGGAGTCCCAGACTGTTCTCTGGAGGCCGCTATGGTCAAGGTGAAGTAACTTGAAATCATCATCACATAAACTTTTGAATGAAAACCCTCACACTGGAGCTGCTTCTGACATCATCAAATGAGCCTCAGCTGTGTTTTTTAGGTCTTTAGCTCTGAGGGCAGCTGGATCTGTGTGAGTGAAGCCCTGCAGGTTTTAGGAGGCCTGGGCTTCACCAAGAACTACCCCTACGAGCGCTACCTCAGGGACTGCCGCATCCTCCAGATATTTGAGGTACAGAAGAGCATGATTACAACTGTAATATGTGTGTTATACTGATATGAAAGGGAAGCACAGCTGTATGTGTAAGCTTTGTGACAAGCTCAGACTTGTGAAGTACAGGGGTGCTGTGAAATAAAATTTACAACATGTTATGTGATTATTTTAAATAAATAAATTAATTTATTTGTGTTTTATTGTCTTATTAATTAGATTACTTTTTGAAAAATGAATGGCAGCTTTAATTTGTGTAGTAATAGTAAAGAAAATCTGTTTTTGACCACCAGGGGGCATATTGACAAACGTAAGTTCCAGCACAAACGTGCAAAAACAATTAAATGAGAAATGCATTATATAATTCTGTTTCTTTTCTTTATTTCTCTCTCTGTTTGTAGGGTACTAATGAGATTTTGAGGATGTACATTGCACTTACAGGAATGCAGTATGCCGGAAAAATACTAACAGGAAAAATAAAGTATGTAAGAAATATATACATTTATAAATGTGTCATTCTTCATGATTAATTCATATTTAAAGGGTTAGTTCACACAAAAATAAAAATTCTGTCATCATTCACTCACACTCATGTCGTTCCAAACCTGTAAGACTTTTGTTCATCTTCAGAACACAATTGAAGATCTTTTTGATGAAGTCTGAGCCAGCTCTGTACCTTCCATAGACTGCTACACAACTGACACTTTGACGCTTCAAAAAGTTCATAAATAGATCGGAAAAACTTATCCATATGAATTGAACTGTTTAGTCTAATTTTTCTGAAGAGACTTGACAGCTTTATAATATATGATGAACAGATTAAATTTAGGGTTTCATTCACATATAAACATTGATCAGTGAACATAGTCAGAAGCTCAACCGAAACTGCTTGACGCGTGAGAATGAACCTCATTCTCATTGGTTCTCTAGCAAGCATGCTTGTGCTTCCATTTACAATAACTGATGTTTGCATTGATCAATGTTTAAATGTGAATAAAAGCCTAAATTAAATCTGTTCATCATATAATCGAGTCTCTTCAGAAAATGTTGGACTAAACCGCTCAATTCATATGGATTAGTTTTAGGATCTCTTTATGAACTTTTTGAAGCATCAAAGTGTCAGTTGCGTAGACTGTCAATGGAGGGACAGAAAACTCTCAGATTTCATTAAAAAGATCTTCATTTGTGTTCTGAAGATGAACAAAAGTCTTACGAGTTTGAGTGAAGAGTAAGACAGCTGCATTCTTTAACATGTGCAATTGTCTTCTCACAGGGAGATGAAGAAGGGGAATGTGGGGGTGGTGTTTGAGATTCTGGGAAAGAAATTGAAGGACTCAGTGGGGAAGACGGTGGACTTTGGACTGACCGGCAAAGATGGCGTTGTGCACCCCAGTCTGACGGTACAGAACCAATGCTGCTTGTGCTCTATTTGACTAATCAGCAATAATCATGACACCAGTGGTCATAAAATGAATGTATAGATTACGTCATGGTAATAATAACATTGATGTCCTGTAAATGTCCTGTCACCCTCACATCTGATCTCGTGTAGTTCTCCTGCCATTGACATGTCATCAGCCGCAATCCTTCCTTCTGATCTCTCCTTTAAATCCGTGTGGTCGAGTAATTGAGCCCAGCTTGTTTTCGGCAAAGTGATGATGTCATCATTCTCCCACAGGAGAGCGCCAAAATGTTTGAGCAGAACGCCGCACTCTTCGGCTCTACTGTGGAAAGCTTACTGTACCGATATGGAAAGGTAATAAATAAAATAGTTTCATGCAAAACCTTACATTATTTTGAAACTTTGCAGCTGGTTTAATGAAATTATTATTATTTATTGTATAATTGTTTTTACAGATTTTTACTTCAGCGTTTACCATTTGTATTTATTTTGATCAGACACTGGATGATGGATATTGTCATGCCGAAGCAAAACTCTTTCTTTCTGTATAAAAACTGCTATATTTATAGTAAGCCAAGCTCATAGTCACCGGTCCCATCAATCTCACATTTTCCCCACCATCAGTTTTTAATCGGCGTTTGTCCACATTCCTCAGATGCTGCCAGAAAATGAAAAATGACCATTCGTTTAACGAACAGCCATGTTATTTCTTTCGGTTGCTATCGCAACGCACAAGGTAATTAGCGTGGGCCGTTAGCGCTGCTGGGACCTGGTCTCTGGTCCCTTCTTTCCTGTTAGGCTGAGGTAATGTTCATGTGTGACACAGCTGGCCTCACTCTCTCTTTTCTGAATGAACGTCTGTGTGGCCGTGCCGTTGTATTCAGACTGCAGTCACAAGAGTGCAGCCTGGAAGCGCTTCAGATTTCCACACTTTTTTCTGTTGGAGCGCACAACATTTCATCTTCCTTCATTCTCATTTGCAGGAAATATTTAAAGGAATAAATCCCCCCGCCGCAGTGTTTTTGCCTACATGCTGTGTGAAATACGAACTGTATAAAGGCAGGCACAGGATGTGCTTGTCTCTTTATGGGTATTTCCGTAAGGACGGCCTTGATTTGTCCTACTTTGAATGACCTAGATCAACTGAAACATCTTGAAATATGATATTTAGACAGTGTTTAATTCTAGATACAGACAAATGTGAGCTTCGATGTTTATCAGTAACATTTTATATGATACAGTCATTTTAAGCTAATCAAAAAGGTTTTTAAAATCATGAGAAACTAATTTAGTAAAGTTTGTCTGGTTGTGTACACTACCGTTCAAAAGTTTAGGGTCAGTACAATGTTATTTATTTATTTATTTTTAAAAATGAATACTTTAATTCAGCAAGGATGCATTACACATTTTTCAAATGAGTAAAGACATTTATAATGTTACAAAATCTATTTCAAATAAATAGCTGTTCTTTTGAACTTTCTCTTCATCTAACAATCCTCAAACTATCACGATTTTTCCACAAAAATATTAAGCACAACTGTTTTCAACATTGATGATGATAAGAAATGTTTCTTGAACACCAAATCAGCATATTAGAATGATTTCTGAAGGATCATGTGACACTAAATACTGGAGTACTGTCTACTGACAATTTAAAATCATAGGTATAAATGACATTAAAAAAAAAAAAAAAAAAAAAAACTCTAATATCACAGATTAAACAGTTGAAACTTGGTCTGTTTCAGACAATCGTTGAGGAGCAGCTTGTGCTGAAGAAAGTTGCAGATGTATTAATTAACCTCTACGCCATGACAGCCGTCCTGTCCCGCACCAGTCGCTCCATCAGCATCGGCCTGCGCAATCATGACCATGAGGTAACAGACTCTTAAACCTTCCTCACTGAGGTCACAAGGTCAGGCAAGTGAAGGAGCACGTAACCTGGACCTGTAAACTGGTTTACAGTATTGAGACTTTTTTGTTCAGTGTTTAGTCAAAGCATTTAAATGAAGGATCCAGTGGTGAACGAGTACAGATTAGGGCAGAAAAAAAGAAATGCTTCATTAACTGAAATGAGAGAGGACTTAACGTGAAAGGATCATTTTATTTGTTTGTGGATATTGCAATGTGAAAAATCATGCATTTCTTCTCAGAAGTCCCGGGAGGCATTTCAATAAGCTAAATTGTAATTTATAGCAGCACAGCGGGTTTGATTTTGCATAAGAGAAACAATTGATGGAAACAATTTAATGACTTTTTTTATTTAATGCTGATTGCTTGCAATTGGCTTTATCCAACTTAATAGGATGTTATACATGCTTTTAAACATACACTGGCATTCAAAAGTTTGGGATTGTTAAGATTTTTTTTTATGTTTTTGAAAGAAGTCTCTTATGCTCGCCAAGGCTGCATTTATTTGATTAAAATCAAATACTGTAATATTGTGAAATAATATAGCAATGTAAAATAACTGTTTTCTATTTAAATCTATTTTAAAATGTAATTTAGTCCTGTGATGGCAAAGCTGAATTTTCTGCGTCATTTTTCTGTTGATTCTCCTTTTGTTAAATTTATTGTAAGGTCACAGAGTTTTGCCAACAAAAAGTCATTATCAAGGAAATTTGCTTGCACATTAATTTTAAAATCGTTAATGTAAACGACCTTGTTAAATCTCCACTGGCTTTCAGGTGCTGCTCACCAACACTTTCTGCAAGGATGCTCATTTCAAGAACAACTTCTTGTTGACTCAGCTTCAAAAAAGTGAGTAAAACGCACAGCTATAATTGATACCAGCCGCCCTCGTTTTATTGCATAGCAAGACAAAGCGCTTGCACATGTTGTAGAATTTCCTCCACAACCTTACAAACCATAAGTCAGTCACTAACACTTGCATGCGCTTTTCATGCTGTTCCAATTACCATCCACCTAATAACTCCAGTCAATGCGATGCATTAGATCAGAGCGTTCAGATTTAGTGAATGATTGGGGTGTGTGTTCTCTACAGATTCCCCGGAGAACAACGATGCCAACATAAAGAAGATCGCCCAGGAGGTCCTAGCCAAGAGGGCGTATGTCTGCTCACATCCCCTGGACAGGACCTTCTGACATGGCTCTCGTTGTCCGACAGGCTTCCCACAACCCTGTGTCTCAGTTTAACCCAAAAGAAGTGCAGTAATGATTGAGCCTCACTTTATAATGTTTTAGTTCTTTTTATGTCGGTTTTCCATGACATAGTGCCACAAGTGCTTCTTAATATTGGTTGAAGGACATCAAATCAAAATCATGTTGAAGTAATACCTTTAATGCACATGTAAGGTGATGTCTTTGTTGGTTCTCATCTCTATAATGTTTCTGCTGTGTTTGAAGTGGGCACTTTTCATTGGCGTCTGTGGGCCTTCAGCAGGTTTCTGGGAGGAGTGTATGCTTGGCTCTTCATCCATAAACGGTAAAGCAATTCGCTTGTGCAGGATTGAATGTGGCCTCCAGTAATCTCTGTTAAAAAATCCAATTGTTAAAGCAGTTTCGTTATGAGGTTAAGGTATAACATTTGTTGATTGTTTAATTTCTTTTCTCATTTATGCGCTCCAGAGTTTATATTTGGTACTCTGAACGGTTCACGTTCCTTTCCAAGTTGTGGTATATTAATTTAAACCAGTACAAATGAAAGCACAAGGATTATTTCTAACCGGAAATGGAATTTGCTGTACTGGGATGAGTATCTTGGAATTGCGTTTTTGTCCCAGCTCAGGCTGTGGTTCTGAAAGGGTCCTGGAGCAAATGGAACATTGGCCTCCTTCTCTGCTGAGCCGGTCGTTTCAGAAGGCTGGACCACAGAAATAACGGGAATGGGCTGAAGAAAAAAAAACAGGGATTAGATCTCGAATAGCATGCTTAAACTGTTTTAAAGCATACTGAAATATGTTTGTTGAGAGTTTATCAAGAAAATATGTACATCTGTATCAACTTATCTAACAATAAAACTTGCATAATTTTAAAAATGATATTTGACTGTCATGCATATTTTTATTTTCTGCAGTAATGTCAATTTGGAAAATCTTTTTTTTTTTTTTTTTACTTTTAAAGCCATTCCTGGCCTTTTCAGAGAATATTTCATGGGCTTGTCCCTCAGTATGTCTTGTAGCTTATCCAGGCCTGCTCTCTTCATGTGACATTTGAACTCGGGAAGTCTTCCGCTTCCTGTTAAGCTCTCGCCAAGCAACATCTTCCTCTGGCACCTGTTGTACTGAGCATATGCAGCCTGGAGCTGGTCCTCATGGAGAGCCTCTCCTACGCGAAATACAAGGTAAAACAAGTCCCTTTAGGATCAAATGATCAAGGATGCTGACGGTTATAACTGTTCATTACATGGCTTTCTCGAATACTCGATTCTGATTGGTCAGTCTCTGCTAGTAATGGGGGCTTTTGAAACACTGCTTCATGAAACTTCTAAACATTTATGAATCTTTGTTTCGAATCAGTGGTTCGGAGCTTGTTTCAAATTTGCCAAGTCAATTGATTTCAGCAAACAAGGCTGTTACATCGTACTGTTTCAAAACTTCTAAAGGTTCGTTGCTAGAAACCGATGATTTGGGTTTTCCCATGAACGAGTGTCTAATGTTTAACTGATCTCGGGTCAGTTTTATAATATAGGTTCATTTTTAATTAGTTTCATGAATTTTAATACTTTTGTGTGTGTGTATAATACAAAAAGGAGAATGTTATTTAATTGCTTCTAGTTTGCCAAGCCCTGCCTAATAACGCACAAAACAAGAACACAAATTTCATATTTATTGGCATTTAATTATTTGTACATTGCACTTTCATGATAATGTGCAATTGGTTTGTAAGAGGTGTTTTTATACATGTTTTTATTGAATGTTGAATTTTCGTTGCATTAACTGATTTGGTGCTGCCAGTGTTTTGAAACAGTGAATCATTTTGTGAAGCAATTAGTTCAGTTGATTCAAAGTTTCAAAAAGTTAAGTTTCTCCCCTCACTAGTTTCAGCATTCAGCGGTCAGATATTTTCTAATATTCACCATCTTCCATGGCAACACTGTTTCAGTCCAACTTTTCATGTTTCATTCAAACGCCATCTTGCGTCTCAATTATCGATTGTAGTGAAAATGACATGCGAGAACTTCAGTCCTATTAATGTTTTATTGTTGCAGTGTTGCTAGATCAATTGTTTTGTACATTGTAAGGGGACATTCACACAGAAGGCATTTTTTGTCTTCAAAATTTGAGACGCTGCTGGGCAGTAGAATAAAAAAGTTCCTGAAATTTTAAAGGTGCCTTGTGTAATTTTTAGCGGCGTCTAGTGGTGAGGTTGCGTATTGCAACCAACAGAAGTTACGGTGGCCGACAGGAAAAGATGTCATCGCCTGAGCCAGCAGAGAGTAGCCAGTTAAGCAATGAGGTTTCTTTACAAAGATAAATTAAGACATTAGGTTTACTAAACATCGTTTTTACTGAATAATTATTGCGAATATTATTGTTACTTGTTCATCATTGTGTGAGTGTTTTATTCGCTGATTTTAGCTAGCTTCTTTACACGAAGAACAACATAGTGACGAAACGCTTTTGTCCGTTTAGGGCTACTATAGAAACTTGGTGCCGCAAAATGGCTATTTTAAAATGGCCAACGATGTATGTAGATAGAAATGGCTCATGCTAAGATTATAAAAACATAACGGTTCATCATGTAAGGTCTTTATTCACCACTGAAAACATAGTTATGTATATGATATTGCATTTCTGTCAACAGATCCTCCTAAATATTACACAATGCACCTTTAAGGTAGATTTTTAAAAAGTTGAACTTCTTGAGCACCACATTTTTAGAACAAATTTTATATGAAAAAATAATTCTGTGTGAAGGGCCTCTAATTTATTATTCTTTAGTGGAAGCTTTAAGATACTATAAACATATATTTACCATGTATTCAGTAAAATTCAGTCCATGTATTTACTGATTTGGCGAGTAGCTGTTTAATAAGAATGATCAAGCATGATTTGTTCATGTTAAGAAAATGTTACCAGTCAAATGGATGCTCAAGGGGAGCTCTGGTCCAAACTGTAACGGGGGCTTGGAGTAAAGTTCAAAATCCTGATATCTCTTTATCCATGGCAGCCTGGATCTGGAAAGCGTTGGTTTCAGTTTATTCCCATGGAGAATGTTTTCTCTCCAAGACTGTGAACCAATTGGCATAACAAATTAATGCTTTTAATTTGAGAAGCACACACATAACACATGCAGTTGCTTCAATGGGAGAAACTGCTAATGATAACATCAATCTGTCATCTGTAAGGTTCACATTTTTGGGTGCTATGCTCATGTTCAGCAGGGAACAATAAGTTACAGACTGTGAAAGGCAGATAAATCAATTTCAGGCATGCACATGCTTCTAGATAACGCTTTGTGTCCCATGAGTCAATCAGCATTAGCCCTGTCACTGTACTTGTAACTAAATACTGTTTTAAGCTCTGGGGATCTGTAAAGAGGTGGGCAAGGTAGGTAAACATCAGTAAAACTCTATCTTCTTGCTTAAGCTCTTAGGAATGCCTATAAAGTTGACATTGCACTGAGAGAGAAACATGACACAGATGGGGGTAACGGTGGTATGGCATGACCTCAACCGCACCATTCTCAGCTCCTCTATCCGAGCATCGTCTGGATGCTTTGGGTGCTGGTTAGATTCAAAACTGCTTCTAAAACCTGGGTAAGAGAAGCGAATGCAAGTGGAGTCCTAGAAAGAGGATAAATAGCCACATTTTACTTACAGTTATGCATTGCTAAATAAAGGCTTAGAGGTTGTTTTTATGCATTTCATGGAAATTGATGCCAACCTTTGAAAGTTTTCTGTAGAGTAGTTCTCCACTCTGAGTTGGAGAGTTCATTGTTTGAACATTGTGGTGATGGATGATCTGATCATCAGTTACATTATGCAAAAGAACATTAGGCTTTGACTTTTGCAAGTTGCTACTCGCCCTATGGACCTCTTCGATATTTGCCTGAAACAAAAACTGCCTTTAATCAATTGCTAACTCAATTTCCCCCCTTTTTTTGAGACCGTAAACTTTTTTTGTTAAACGTACAGTATCAGTAATTCATTACCTGAAGGAAGTCTCTCACATTATTGCCCTCATTCTGTTTCCATTGTAAATATTCTGTGTTGAAGTTGTCTAGAGGTATTTGAGTTCTCATTCTAATGTTAAGATGATCAGGTGTATCCTGAGATTCCTGGGACTCTGTCGCCATCCATAGCTCTTTTCTCCTGAGATCCGATCCAAACTCCTTGCTTAAACTGAGAACCATGTTGGTTGATGGGAACAGGTTGAGGTGCACTGCTTCTTGAAGTTTCTTTGCTTGGCTGATGTGGCTTATACTGATTAGTTGCAGATTAGTATACAGATTAGTTGCAAACATTTAAACTTTCTTGCACAATATCTCTGTATTTCACAACATTTGTTCATCTAGGTTTAGCAGATTTAGCAAATGCTTTTTTGTGAAGTATATTGCATCCAAGTACACAGTACTTGTCACCATGTTGAAATTGTATACACACCAAAATACTCTACTAATCCAAACACTGTTCTTCCTTTGTATAACCATACTGAGAAAACCAAGAAAAAATGGACCATGCTGGAACCTGTAAGGCAAAGAAGATGTGTTTGGGTGTAATTGCAATTATACCGTTTCATGGCTTCAAGACAGGCACGAGGAACCGTATTCCTGATAAACACCAGAGGCTCCATCATAATGGTCTCAAGTGGCCTCAGAAGGCAAATCGGACTCAGACCCACGTCAAGCATGTCATACAGTCGGTTTGAGAAACTCAATCCTGAGTTATACAGCACAGTCACCTGTTCCTCCTCATCTCCATCCAACCTGGAAAAGATCAGATCGGTCTGTATGATCTTCAGGAATTTTTGCTTTGCTGCATATTGGTAAATGTTGTGCACATGTGGGAGCATTTTAAATGATGACTTTCTTACTTTATAGGCACTGTAGTCCACAGTCTTTTGACTGCTTGATCCTTCAATCCTTCCAGAACAAGAAGGTGTAGAGCCGTATCCATCAAATGAAATCCAGTGAGAACATTTAGCCTTTTGTTCTTTTTTTCTTTGGCACTTATCTTATGACCAGATAGGACCCTTTGAATAGTTTCCTCTGGATAATGATTTAGTTGGAAGGCATCTGCATTAATTTGTAGAATTTCGGATGTCAGTTTGGCTAAGATGCGAGTATTATTATACTTAAAGACATAAATGATGCGACCAAAAGGACAATCTCCTTCATTGCCATCTTTAGGATGGAGGGGGTAAGCTATCTGCACCTGGACTTTTAGTTGGGCGTCAGCTTCGAGATAATGACCCACTGGCATTGCGATATCTGAGGAAATCTCAAAAGAACTTCTCTGTTCATTTTTCTCAGAAGCAGAACAACGAATGGGCAATGTCAGCTTCAAATATCTGCATCCTCTGAGAAGATCTGAAAGATCTAGTTTTGCTATTCCATATGGATCATGGTGTTCAGTATCTGCCTTTAAGGCATTATGAATAGTCCATAGATCTACACTTGCTAGTTTGGCATCATTGGGGTCAGTCCCAAATACAGCGGGTGTGCTGGACGGTTTTTCATTTTTTCTATCCCGATCATGGACTTCGATCTCCATTGGTGGACCTCTAAGAAACTCAAACAGCTTTCCAGGGCTCCCACCGGTAAAAATCACATTCACATCCTTAAAGTAGATCTCAGCGTTGGGATCATGGCCTTTGGTTCTGTAAATAGGCTTGTTGTGGAACTTGTACTGGCAGTAGACAGGAAGGCATTTTTCCTATTGAAAGATGAATTTGATTATTCCTGTATTTAATGTAATATACTATTAATGTTGAGTAATGCAACTAATCATTTCTGACATGGCATACCTTCAGTACATGGAAAGGAACGGGAGATGATGGCAGAGAAGCAGATAAAACCGTGATGACTAGTGGATTGAGTTCAGCCTTTAGCTGCTCTGATATAAGTGGCTGATCAAGAGTGATATTCCAGAATCCCTCTTTCACCTCTCCGGAACAGAATTCCAGGCAGTCAATGAGCATCATACTCCCTAGCATGAAGTCACAGTACATGTTTAAAACATAGGGCTTAGATTAAGCCAGGATTAGGCCTTGGATCAATTAGGACATTTAAGTAGCTTTTATAAACGTGCCTTTACTGGTGTGCTCTCCTGAGATAAAACAGGTTGCTTTCTGTTAAAACACCTCAAACATGCAGTTTAGTCTGGGACTAGACTTAAGCTTTGTCTGTAAAACTGGGGGAATGACTACCATTCTAAAGTTTGGGGTCCGTAAGTTTTTGAAAGTCTCTTATGCTCACCAAAGCTGTATTATTAAAAATAGTAAAAACAGTAATATTGTGAAATAATATTACAATATCATTTCTTTTTAAATATATGCTAAAATATCATTTATATCTGTGATGCCAAAGCTGAATTTTCAGCATCATTTCTCCAGTCTTCAGTGTCATATGATCCTGAAATCATTCTAATATTCTGATTTGGTGCTCAAAAAATATTTAATATTAAATGATGTTAAAACAGTTGTGCTGTTTGATATTTTTTGGTGGAAACTGTGATGCATTTTTTTTCAGGATATCGAAAAGTTCAAGAGCAGCATTTATTTGAAATGCAATTTGAACTCTATTGTAATATTATAAGTGTATTTAATGTCAGTTTTGATCAATTTAATGCATCCTTGCTGAATACAAGTATTGATTTCTTTCAACAACAACAAAAGTCTTACTGACATTAAACCTTCAAACAGTAGTGTATATGTTATAGTTTACTTGTGGGAATGTCCTCCGACCACTCCCATATTCTACATAGCTGCCTGTAATTCTTATAAAGTGCATATGAGAATTCTTTCTTTAATGGATAATAGTTTGGTGAAATAATAACAGTACTGAATGATAGCCTCCATCCTGTAAAATCCAACCCTGCAATGAAAGGAGCTACATGTGATTTGTCTGGCTCGGCTTTATGGTAACAAGGCTAAAATATTTCCCAAGTGAAGGCTTTCATCAGGAGCTCCTGCTGGGGGTCTGGATGAGACATATCAAAAGCTAAAGAACTCGGTCGGCTTTGGCTGGTGCCATTCCACAGCCAATTAGAGGCTAAGTATCACGAACCCTGCAGGGAAGCCCTCTTACATGATCCACCCCACAGCGCTCAGGCATAAGGGAAACAGCCCCTAAATGGCTGGCTGCCTCGCTGAAGTCATGATCATGATGTATTGTATAAACATAACATTTACTTACAGGAAACCTGTGTATGAGAGCCTTATGAGTGGGAGAATACAACCGCTTTTACTTGATCCTAAAACTACCATAAGGACTTTAATGCAAGTATCTTACACGGTGTCTAATAATGCTATACAAGAACATGAATCTTTACATGTTCAACAAACATACATGAACTACACTCTTCTGAGATTGCTAGGAAGAAACTACCTGCAAGAAGAGGGGCGATACTGAGTTCCAGAGAGGCGGCTGCCTTTTCCTGGTTCGCCTCCATGATTTCTGCAGTGTCCTGGGTGGGTTTCTGGAAGAGTGTCGTCTTAGTGGGTGCTATTTGGCACTTTTCTTTTGTTAAGCCACTTTTAATAGGAACTAAAAAGAAAGACAGAAGTAAAGTGACCAATGATGTGCTATTTCAAGAGCCATAATGATAATATTGTGATGAGGCAATTTGTACACTCTAAAAAAAAATGCTAAACCCAAATTGGTTTAAATTTTTTAAATAAAACTTTGGTTTGGTCTGTATTTGACACAAACATGGGTTGATACAACCCAGCATTTGTTTAGAGTGTAAATATAGATGTATCAATGTACACTACCTTTCAAAAGTTTAGAGTCAGTACGTTTTTTTTAAAGAAATTAACTCTTTTATTCAGCGAGGATGCATTAAAGTCTTTTGTTACAAAAAGATTAATAGCTTTTGAACTTTCTATTCAACAAAGAATCCTGAAAAATCACAGGAATAATAATAAAATATATTCAAATAGAAAACAGTTATTTTAAATTGAAATATTTCACAATATTACTGGGTTTACTGTATTTGTGATCAATTAAATGCAGCCTTGGTGTGCATAAGAGATTTCATTTCATTAAATCTTACCGAACCCTGTAACTACTTTTTATCCTTATAACGTTACTTTGGCATCAATATGACGATATGCAATCAAACATATGCATATTGTTGTAAAACATAATAATCATTGATCATTGTAAGTCTTTTATTAGCATTCATAAACATTAGCATTATATCATACCTGTGGCAGAGCGAAGCTCCAAACGCTTTCTATAGTCAGCTGATACTGGAGCTTTGCTGTTTTTCATAGATGTCCTTGTTCTCCGGTTTTCCTTCTCATAGATAGCTCTCATCTTAAAAACCATCTTCCTGATGCCACCTTTGAAGATATTTGATGTTGCAACTGAATATTTTTTCCAAGAATGATCAAAAATGATGCATGTTGTATTGTGCTTTGTGATACAAGTATGAGGATGTAACTACGTATAGCAATGCATGTGAATTTCACACATGAGATCCATAGTCATGTTTCTGCCTACTGTGATGTAAATTAATGTCTTTAAATTCGTTAAAATGGCCCCCTTCTGAAGTAACTGGGTAAGACAAATTTGATTTGATTTATTCGTCTATCACATTTCACTTTGTAAAGTCATTATGCTCTGCAGTGTCTTAAACTGTAGAATAGATCTTGCTGTATAAAAGAGGTGTTCAGACCAGTGAAAGTTACAACAAAGGAAAACCTAATTGGAAGCACAATCAATAAAACAGTGGTGGATCGTACCCATTTGATCTGAATCCTCTCCAGACCTCTCCTGTGGAAGTCTGAAGGCTTTGGGTCTGTCATTCCTGGCTTTGAAGGATATCTTGTCTTTGCTGTCCCATACTCTAACTGTGACCTTATGGGAGGCCATTTTAATTAGGAGCTCTCTGGTCACATTGACTTTCAGATTCTGAGACCAACTCACCCACACCTGGTTTCCTTCTCGCCAAGGCTTCAGCACCTTGACAGAACACATAGCACATGATTTCGTGATTATCTGAAGATTTTTTCTATTTTAAAAAGACAAAAATAGAATTGCACTGCCGTTCAAAAGTTTGGGGTCAGAGAATTTTATAGTTTTATTCAGCAAGGAAACTATTAGTTATTTGCAAATTGAAATTTGGAATGTTGCAAAATATTTCTATTTAAAAAAATGCTGTTCTTTTCAACTTTCTATTTGTCAGAGAATCCTAAAAAATTTACGGTTTTCACAAGAATATAAAGCAGCATGACTTTTTTCAACATTGATAATAATAAGAAATGTTTCTTGAGCAGCAAATCAAATTAGAATGATTTCTGAAGGATCTCAGCTTTGCCATCACATCATTTTTTACTGTATTTTTTTTTATCAAATAAATGCAGTCTTGGTGAGCATAACTCAAAAACATTGAAAAAAAAAATTCCAACTCCAAACTTTTAAATGTTAGAAAAAATTGTTTTCATGATTTATCACAACTTTTTTCTTTAGTCAAATCAACTTAGATAATTAATGTGGTTCCGATAACATAATATTTTGAGTTTCTATTTATTAAACCAATCTCCATTGTATTAACTCAAATTTTAAATTTCAATGAACACAAAATTTTAAGGCAACCATAAAACTTACTTTAAGTTAAACCAACAATATTTTTTTACAGTAGCCTACATAAAATATAAAATATAAATTTTATATAGCCCTATAAAATATTTAATGTCATTAAAACAATTAATTAATGAATTAAAACACATGCAAAGATCATTCTCAAATGTCCAAATTATTCTTTCTAGGTAGACCAAACGTGTTCACCCTAAACAGCGAGGTGCACAGAAATCCAAGAAGGCAATTAACTGAAACTCTAGTCCAGCTTTCTTTGGGTTAGTGATGCACAAACTTGTGCATAATGTATTAACATTGACTTGATAAGCAAACAGTTGTTGTTGTCAATCTAAGTAGTAGTTAGTATTATTCTAAATAATTGAGCATTTACAAGCTCCTGCTTATTAACCCCTAATTGATTCCAATAGTTTACCTTAGTCTCATTGGCCATGTAGAGTTTAGCCGCTGTACCAAACATCACTAGATCCGCTCTGATTGGTTCAGGTTTATCAGGCAGCATGTTGTACTCAATGCAGTAATAGCCCTCAGCTCTGGGGGCCTCCACTACCTCACTGGATGGCTCTTCCTTTGGCGCTTTTTTTCTTTTCTCAGAATTTGTAAAATACTCCTCATGTTCTAAAAAAAACCCCCCACAGAATAATATTATTATTCACGCAAAGTTTTATGACTATTTAGGCATGACCATGTCAATTTATTTCATTTACTAGTGTCAGGAAAAATGATTTCATCATCACACATAAAAACAATACCATCCCCATACCTTTAAAGACTGCTAATGCAATGCTGACTGTACAGGTGACAACATAGCTGGAGTCTGTTGTGAATGTTGTTATGGTTTGTTCATCCACAGAACTGGATTCTGGCATCTTCAAATATGCATCTTCACTTTCGTCAGCATCAGGTCCACAGTCTGTGAGGAGTTCGGCGTTTAAAGACAAATCTTCACTTCTCTTCCTGTCAGGTGATGCTGAGTCCCTGCATTCCATTGAGTTCTAGAAATATTGGTCTTGGATTAGAAGATATTAAAACTATCAAAACAAATATGGTAAGTTACTATTGTAGTGTAGCCTACTGGTTTCAGATGGCAATACCACAGTAACGTTACATGATAAAAATCGTCTGTATCTTATTGTATGTAGGCTAGCCTATAATTTCTAATTTAAACATTATGTAGGCTAATTAGCAAGCACTATTATTTTATAAAGTTCAACAAAACTTACTGTACCATAACTGACAGCTGTTTTCCAGCATTCCCCTCACCGCTACTTTTATGTTTTAATTGAGCGCATAAGCATTAGAGAACTTTGAAACGTTGCCTTTTGTTATATGGAATGCTTTGCGTCGCCTTGACAACCGGAGTCGCGTGAACATAATGAAGCGCGCGCGCTGGTATATAGGATATGACAAGCGGCTCATGGAACACAGTCAACAGTAGTTACACAGTGGCCAATCGACATTCGACTCCACCGGCACTTCAAAGCTTTTACTTACTAGAGGTTGAAAGGAAAAGATTGGTTCTGCTATAGGCAGCCTCCATATAAACCAATTCCCTTGCAGCCAAAGAAAACTTTAGGAAAAGTAACTCTGTGTATTATAAGGGTATATTCGAGTATTAAGGGAAATTCCGAAGTTCTCTGGCTAATTAATAGCCTACGTTACTTTGCAATGTACGGTGAAAAATGCATTAAACTTAACGGGACATTACATTTAAAATGTAACAGTAATTTTGCTGTTCAGCAGTAGAATACAGATTTATTTATTTTTTGCAAATAAAATAATGACTACCTGCACGATATTCATTTATATTTAACCAGACAGGGCTAAATACAGTATTTTAAAATAAAATAAAAGATTTATGAACACATTAGAATATTGATATTTATTTATTTAGTTCGTTTATTGCATTATTTAATTTTATGTAATCCTATTGACTAATTGTTTTTTGTCTCTTTTGTGCATAAGTTATTTATTTGCATTATTCATGAAAACTTTTCAAACAATTTTGATTAACTTTTATATATCCTGTATTTTACAACATGTAGGCCTATGCATAATATAATGAAATATTATTTAAGTAGATATTTACAACGTAGATTTTAGTTGTTCAAGTATATTTTAATTAACATTAGTCCTGTATATCGGTTGATTTTATGTAAATATGAACTATCCTGCATACTACATTGACTCTTGAAATGCCTTTATGTTGTTTAACTCCTTTTCAAAAGTTTTTTTTCCCTCTGCAGTTAAGATTTTGGGGGCAGTGCTCACTTCACTGCAACGCCCCCACGCGCACAGCGCGAGAGTTTCTACTACAAGAGTGGGGCGGTCTGGTGTTTAGATGACATGAACTTGGTATGCTGTTTGTGTGCTTAGAGGATCTGTTGAATCCATTAATCCATTTAGGCTCTATAAATGGAATTCTTGTGAAAAAGGATGGAAAAGTCGGACGCATGCGATCCATACAGCCGACCCGCGCGCAGGACACAATGGATAGTGAGCACTCTGGCGTATCATTACGGACTAGACCGTGGAGTGGAAAACGAAATTATAGTCCTCGCAACCGGGTTGGATCAATACCTCCAAGAGATATTTCATCACCTAGACTGTCAGGGAGATGGGAAAATACCAGCCGAGGATTTTAACATTCTTTGCGATATTTTAGGACTCAATAAAGAGTGTGATCTAGAGGAATGCGCGGGGATATTGGATAATCTACCCAAAGAGTTCAGCTTCAGGCAGTTTCACGCAAAACTCTGCGGTTATTTTAGTACCAAAGCTGGGTGTCAGTATGAGAATGGGAGGTTGTTGGTTGGCAAGGAGAGCGAGCATATAGAGACGCAGATCAGACTCCGGAGCCCTTTGAGGCGGCGCGAGAAGCTGCTGTCGTTGGGTACCAGCAATAAGCGAGAAAGCGGAGAGCCTTCTTCGCCCACTGTGGATAGACACACATCAGGTTGTAGGCAGCTGGGATCCTGCACCAAGGAGTGTTACGAGGAAATCGTGGCACTTGAGGAGGCTGAGGACAGGATAGCCAAACTTGAGGAGGAAAATGCCAGTCTCAGGGAGTTGGTGGAGGACATGCGCGCGGCTCTTCAAAGCAGTGATGCTCGATCACTGGCCCTACAGGTACAGTCATTGTGATCAAGTTCATACTATTATACAAACTAAGCAACAATATTTTCTACATAACATCTAATTGATTATTAGATCGAGTCTTTTTAAAATATTTTCACACACAGGTGATATGTTAATCTGTTCCTAGCCTAATAAAGTTATAAATAATATAGTCCTCTACTCTGTGACAACCAATGAAATATTATTTCAGTAGATATTTTAGGTTGCAACGTAGATTTTAGTTGTTCAAGTATGTTTTAATTAACATTAGTCTAGCATTTTAAAACCTATGAGTGGCAATGGTTTATAGGGGGGGGGGGCACCTCAAGATCTACTTTCCTACAGAGGTTTGCCCCAACCTTAATCAAACACACCTGAGCAAGGTCTTCAGGATTACTAGAAAGTTACAGGCAGGTGAGTTTAATCTTGAGAGGATCTCGAAAGCCAAAGTTGCCCAGCCCTGGTCTATATACCCCTTACATAGCCTTGCCCCTTTTTCAGTGCTCGTTGTGTTCCGGTTTGTATTTCCACAGCATGAAGGTAAGATCTTACGGATTTATGAATGAACCGCTCATTTTAAAACCTTTCCGGTCTACTGGCATTTTCTATGACATCCGCTTCAAACATTATAATGCTCATGGCTTTCGTTAAGTCTAAATAAGTAAATACTCTTCGACAGCAATGCTAAAGAAATATACAGGGCTACCTCAAACACGAAAGTTCAAATGTAACAGACGTAGGCCAGTAAGAGCTGTGTGTGTAAACCTCACTCCCCTGACCTCGACCCGGTCCGAGCGGTAATTTGAACCGGACTCTGGGAGGCGGGCGCCCTAACCAGAACGCTAAAGACCACAGCCTCTAGCTTCAGTCGCTAGCCTAGCGCGCCTGGAGACCTGGTTCGAATCCCGCTCGGAGCGGGTCGAGCAGGACTGGTTTCACAAAGATGGCTGCGTGCTTGTTTCTCTGGCGCATAAGGTCTATACTATCACATTCTACTGACATGCTTCTGTCTGTCACAGGTGGGTCTGTGGAAAAGCCACTCGAAACATAAACCAGAGGGTGGCTGTTTCATCGCCCACCAAAGGCGAACAGCCCAGAAGCCCAACATTTCTGGGAACCTGAAGGACATCCAGAGTTTCCTGAGAGAAGTGGAGCTCATCCGGAATTCCCGGGATGGGCAAATCGAGGAAGCCATGTTCTTCAACCGTAAGCTGGAGCAAGAACTGCGAGTATCACGCGAGACCGTGTTGATGCTGGAGGATTGTAACAGGACTCTAAAGAAGGAGCAGGTGGAGATGAGGAAGAGGGTGGAGGAAGCCAGACAAGCTGTGCTGAGTGGCCTCAAGAAAGTGAAGGAGCTGGAGACCAAAGCCAGTCATGTGCCTGTTCTGCAGAGGCACGTTGAGCAGCTAGAGATGGAGCTTCTGTACTACAGGTTAGTGTAATTCTTACGTGAAGTGCCAGATGGAACAAAAACAAGTGAAATGCATCACACATTAGGGCTTTTCACTTTGAGCTTAACCCCAGGTTATCGCCGTTTATCGCCTGCATTGCGGTGCCAAACTTGCACAGTGTGAATTAATGAGGTGTTAGAATGTTACGACTATGCTTAGCAACGGACAACTAATAGTGTCTGGAATATATAATATGAGGATGCGCAATTTTTGAGCATTCACTGTAAAAATTAATCGTTGGTTTAACTTAAAGTTTGAGTTCATTGAAATGAACAAAAAAGAGTTGTGATAAATCATGAAAATATTTTTTTTGCTGTGTTTGTGTAAACATATTACGTGCATATAGCGTTCGTCCAATCGGTGACACTGACACTGCAAATATGCAAATAAGGACATTAACCCAGCATTTAGGAATGTACAGTTATGAAATGTCAGCTTATGGATGCAGGATTAATTGTTAACCTCGGGTAAATTTTGAGTTGTTTGAAATGAGAATCAAGATAACCCAGGATTCCGTTTACCCGGGGTTTAGAATGACCCAGGGTTAACTATTTCATGTGTGAAAAGCCCTTTTATTTACTGAACTTCATGCAGTTTTGACAGCGTTTATGCAGCAGGCCTAACTAGGTATCATATAGTACCCACACACGTTTGTCACGGTGAGGTAATCTGTTTTTACATTGGGATAGCTTACTTCAGCAATCATGAAGCATAAAGAAGACATTATCTTCACTAACCACAATTTGGCATCTGTTTCTGGGGATTTCACTGATGTAAATGTATAAGACTCTGTCAAAACATGACAATTTAGCAACGATCCTAACAAGTAAGGATGTTTACTTTAGCTGTTCAACAGTTTGAAATGTATTACAGAAATCGCAGAGCTCATCCTAGATTCGTTAAATATTATGCTGCTGCTACTGCTATTGTGTGATAAAGTTCTTTTGGGAATGACAGTTTTGTTTCAGGATTTTAATAAGATTACTCTGCTAGAAGCATTATTGTCACCTGAACCAGACTGAATGCAGTAAACAGTTTCATTACATTCAAATAATCTGACTCAGAGTGAACTGAGATTCCTCTGGGTTAAAATGGCTCCCGCCAGAACTTGCTGGCCCTGACTGTGCAGACGTGTGCCAACATACATGTTATTTAGGTTGGCTTGATGTGGTTCTGCTTCTCGGGTGCAGACCCTGTTTTGTTTGGGTTCATTTAGTTGTCAACGTGTGTGGCAAATGGGCTCCCATATTGGTTAGCTGAAATTATGCACAGCTACTGCTTGGAACCACTCATTTCGTAGTTTGGGTTTTATTCTTAGGTTGTCATTGAACTTTCCTAGCTCGCAACCATTTAATTTACGCTTAGAAGAAGTTAAGCTTAACGTCATCAGTGTTTACATATTTCTTGCATGCTAATTTTGGGACAGCATTCCTGGCAATCCTGATAAAAGTGGATTTACTGAAAGTCTGGAGTGTTTTCAGTTACCAATTCAGTGGTAAGATGTGGGTTTTACTGACAGAAACACATTGACTTTTTTTTAATAAACATTCACTTTTATACCTCAAGGCTGCACTAATCTATGTGAAGTCTGTGGTGAACTTTACCAGGAAGCCTTTCTATGGCCCCTCCATTGATGCCCTTAAGCCAAATAATTCATTCCAGATCACAATGGAGCTGACACATTTTGGGAGAGTTCCATTCAGCCCGGCAAGGCCGGACCTAAACAGATTGAAAGTTCCCATCTATCTTCAAACAGTTTCCCCGCTCTACAGAATAATGGATGAACACTCCCTGTCTATATCCTAGCAACAATTCCTACCAACCTGACTAAGTTTAGAGATCTTGGCATTCTAACGAATGTTTAAAAGTAAGTTCCTGTTTTTATGTTAAATACCAAATACTGCCGATTATGTTATTCAGAAGCGCTTTTTTCTTTGTAGACTTTATTAGTTTGGGTGTAAATAATTCCTTGGGCTGTGCCGCTGTTTTAATATTCAGCCATAACCACTAACAGACCTCACATCCCAAAGCTATGTTTACAGTCTGCACACTACAATGAATGCTATTCAAAGTCATTTTGTCAGATATAGTGCCTTTTGGTGGACTGCGGTGTGGCCAGATGGCATTTTAAATCTGAATCTAATACGGAAAGGCTAATAAGATTGTCTTCTCCTCTTTCTCACTCTTTGATAATAGAGTCAAAGAGTATATTTTGGGTGATTTCACATAAACATACTAAATATTTATGAATTGATGTTAACACCAACCCCCACCACCACCAGTTAATGCTTGAGGTCTGGGGTTAGAAAAATCTTTTTAATGGAAATGATTTAATTTTTATTAAGCAAGACCGTGCAAAATGATCAAAACTGATCAAATAAATGCCGTTCTTTTAAACTTTCTATTCATCAAAAAAATCTTTGAAAAAATGTGCACGATTTTCACAAAAATATGCACCTCAACTGTTTTAAGCATTGATAATAAGAGGATATTATTATTTCTTGAGCAGCAAATCAGCATATTAGAATGGTTTCTGAAGGATCATGTGACACTGAAGATTGAAGTAATGATGCTGAAAATACAGCTTTGCCATCAAAAGAATAAATTACATTTGAAAATATATTACAATAGAAAACAGTTATTTTTAATTGGAATAATATTTCACAATATTACTGTTTTTTACTGTATCTTTGATCTAATAAATGCAGCCTTGGAAAGCAAAAATATTTATATAATGTCTATATTCAAAAATGTTTTATATATATATATATATATATATATATTACCAACCCATAATTTCTGAATTGTAGTGTTTATACAATTATCCACAAATATGATTAGATAAGTAATTGTAATATATCATTTTTGGTTATTGAAATGTTGTTCTTAAACCTTGTTAAAAACCTCGTGTACATATTTACAATAAATAAATACAAGTTAGTCACTGTGCATCTTTTCGCCTGGTACCAAAAAGATGTACACAAAGTCTAGTAGCAGCTTTCTGTTAGGATCACTATCAGTTAGTACACTGACAAAGCAACTTTCATTATTTATTTATAGATTATCTGAAAACGATAGTGCTTTGTTTAAATGAATTCATCATAAGGGTGCCAAAAGACTATTAACAAACTACCATAGATTACCTGTTCCTTAAAAAGTTGAAAGTGAAAGTAATTGTAGCAGTCATAAGTCTCGTGTTTCAACAGCTCATTTCTGGGGGGGTGGAGGGGACGTAGACACGTGCAGAGCGCTCTGTCTGCTATGTGGCAGATCAGAGCAGGGCTTTTTTTCCTTTGAGGCCAGAAAGCCCCATGGGCAAGTGCTGAAAGCTGAAAAGTCTCTAGAGTGCATCCAATGGGCACACAGCTCTCTGTAAACAAAAACACTGGAGAATAGCTTTTGATGCAGCTGCCAGTGGGCGAAGAGGATACCGGTCATGCTCCGCGGGTCATGGACTGACCCATTCACACTGAGAGCAATGCCTTTTATCTGGAGAGAGAGGTGTGTCCGCTGGCTATTTTTCATGTCCTTTTTGTTCAGACCTTAATGCAGTTCTTATAATAATCACACATTTTAATAGCTCACTTCAGTTCCCCCACCTGCCGCTTTAACCTCCTCATCTGGCACGACAATAATCAGCGATATTAGACTCTTTACTCTTTCCTCAGAGTAGTAATGGTCTTGGAAATGTTGCATTTCTAGAGATACTATTTAATGTCAAATTTCTTTCTTTAAGATGTGTGATTACACAACCGTGGACCCGAACAAAGCATCTGAGTCCGCACACAACAATATAATTTGGTATTATGATATTATTATTATAATTTTTTTAACATTTTGTTTCACTTTAAAGTTAAATTTCTTATTATCATTATGGTTGAAAACAGTTGCTGTTTAATATGTTTTTATTGGAAAACATGATTTTTGATAAATAGAAAGTTTAAAAGAACAGCATTTATTTGAAATATAAATTTGTAGAATTATAATCTCTTTATTGTCGTCTTCTTTTTTTTTTTTGACCAATTGAATGCATCCTTGCTGAATAAGAGTATTAATTTATTTTTAAAATTTTATTCATTTCTTACTGACCCCAAACGTTTGAACGGTACAACTGAAAGTGATACGTGGCCCCTGGAGATTTACTTTTTTATGAGCCATTTCCGGTCATATTCGACACTTTGGAGTCACCCAGAATGAGAGAAAGTCCAAGTGTAGATCTCACAGATATTGCGTAAGGTTTCCTGAAGCCCTCTTGGCCCTAATAAAGAAAAAGGAAGAGGTTTAGATAGAGGCCAGGTCTCATGGGGGAGGTGGTGGGAACAGACCTGATCTGTTCAGTTCATTACCATGAAAAACACACCATCCGTGTGTGCGTCCTGCCTGGAGGCGTTTTCTCCCCCTCAGAATCCAAGATGGACTAAAGCCCTCAGCCTAGACCCCAGGAGCACCGCAGACCTCAGGACAAAAGAGACAGACGGTGCGAGAGGAACAAAAAGAGCGGAGGGGGGACAAGAGCCGCCATCTGGAGGAAGAGGCAAACACTCGGCTGTTTGTTCAGTGGGGATGAATTTCCACCATCTTACTCTATTTATCGCTCTGCTTTCAGACGTGCTTTATTTCCTTCTATTCATACCAGGTGAAACGCATTGCATTTATCATCAGGTCTGTGCTGTTTTTTGAGCTCTGCTGACATCACAGAGACTGACATGTTAAACGTAAGGCCGTCTAACCGCTCAAAAATAATCAGTTATTATTCAGAGAACTATTATTTCAGCTGTGGTGCGGCCGACTCATGTAAAATGTGTCCGGGGTAACCTGTTGTACCTCAACACATAATAACAGGGCTGGACAGATGGAATGAACAGTCCTTTGAAAATCCCCTGTATTATGACTGAAGAAGGTAAAGAAATGTCAACAAAATGAGGCCTCATAAAAATGTTGTCTTTAGGAGGTCTTTATATGGCAGGGTTTTTTGGTCCAG